AATATGTCGTTAAAAGGATTTTTCAAAATTACTATTATTTCCTGAGTTATATCCGTTTTAGTGACGTGGCCTCGGTTCGGATCCGACCGAGCCTCAAAACTTTGAACGCGTTTTTCTCGGAACTACTTTTTTCGAGCAGGCGGTAAGGATATCTCGAGTTCTAATTAACCGATTTACTTCAAATTTGGAGGACCCTTCTACCCGTCATTACGAATTCAATGTTTTTTGGATTATTCAAATCCGATGCTCCGATCTTTCAAAAACTCGATTTTTATTTTCTTCATTCTTTGCTCCATATCTCCGAAACGGCTAGACCTGCCTTCGCCAAAAACTAATCAGCACATTTTCCTATCAATAGGAATCGAATGTTTTTTGAACCATTCAAATCGGTTGATCTGTGCGCTCGAAAACGTGACCGAAAAATTGTATCCATACATACATACACACACACACATCCATTTTTTCTGAGGTATGCCAAAATGTTCAGAAACCTTCAAAACATCGAGAAATGTAAACATTTTCAATTTCGATTTTTGGACGATTACATTAACTTACCCTACGGAAAGTTAACAAATACAAAAGATATGTTGTTCTAAAGATTCTAACATTCATTATAATTTCTGTGTCCTTCATGGACAATCATGAATAACCGTAAAAATTATACAAGGTTTTTCACACATAAAAGTTTTCCCAGGTTTTTTCTATTACAATTAATGCTTCCCAAAATTGCGATGGGTCAATTTTATATTGATCACCATATTATAAATAATTTATTGTAAGAATATAGGTTTAATATAAATTGAATTATAATAATTAATGCAGGACTAAAAAAGTAGTTACGAGAATAAATTTCATACAAAAAATCCTTTATATTCAAAAATCATTTAATCAAATTATTATTATTATCTTACTATTTCTATTATTGTTATTTTGTTATATTTTATTATTTTTCTAGTATTATTTTATTATTCAGAAATTTTATTTATATTATTATATAATTTTATTGTTATTATTATTTGCTTATATTTTACATTAAATCATATTACGGATATTATTTTCATGTAAATTTTATCCTTTGCTCTTTTATTTATTTAAATTTATATTATTATTTATCAATATTACTTGATGTTAATAAATTAGCAGTTGTAATAATTATTGAAATTAAAAAAAAAAAAATTAATCAAATAATTTGTGATGAATAACTTGGTAAATGTGTTTGGTAAACTATAGTTTCATATCAATTTTATCAATTGAAACAGAAATCTCTAATTTTAATGAAAGTTTTTGCACAGCAATTCTTGCAAATAATATAATAAACTAGCTGTAAGTGGAATTCTGTCTTAAGGCAATTAGGGCATCGTGCCTTAAGGCAAATTGCTGGAACTTCCCGTACCAAAATTATTATTTTTTTAAAAACGATCAACATTTTTGAAAAAAATTACTTTGAAAAAATAAGATTTTTGAGAAACTATAAATTGGACAAAAAATTACTTTTTTTGAAAAAAAATTTTTTTTTTAAAAAATAATTTTTTTTTTAATTTTTTTTTTTTTTGAAAAAATTTTTTTTTTCTTTATTTTGACATATTGTGGAAGATCTGAACTTTCTTTTCAAAGCAATCGTACTGCTTTAACTGCATAGAGACAAAGCGACGTAAGTCCCGCGTCGCTGTTTAACGCATAAGCATTGGTACGGAACCCATAGGAATGTTAACAAAATGTATACTTATTGTTAAAATCTCTATAAAATATCTGATAATTTGATGTGCATATGTCTAATGATCATTTTTGACCGCCAAATGGCTCATTTTTTTTACTTTTTCCTCCATATCTCCGAAACCGCTAGACCTACCTTCATGAAAATTTTATCGATTCTTCATCTTGTCAATACAAGTGAAATGTTTTTTGAATTATTCAAATCGGACGCTCCGTTCTCTTAAAAACTAAGTTACCGTTTTCGGCACTTTTTGCCCCGTATCTTCGGAACGGCTAGACCTGCCTCCGCCAAAAACTAATCAGCACGTCTCCTTATCAATACGAATCGAATGTTTTTTGAATTATTCAAATCGGTTGATCCGTGTTCCCGAAATCGTCGACGAAAATTTGTATCCGCACATACATACACACACATACATACATACATACATACATACACACACACACACACACACACACACACACATACATCCATTTTTTCTAAGGTATGCCAAAATGTTAAGAAACCTCTGAAACGTAAAGATATATAAAAATTTTCATTTTCGATTTTTTTGCGATTACTATAACTTACCCTACGGGAAGTTAATTAGTGGGGTGCATGACATCGTGCCTTAAGGCAAATTCTCCGTACCGTAATTAAAAATCTTGGTACAAAATCCCAAAAAATTACACAAAATATGTACACATTATAAAAGTCTCTGTAAAATATCTGATAATTTGATGTGCATATGTCTAATGATCATTTTTGACCGCAAAAAGGCATTTTTTAAACTTATTTTTATTGAGAGTCTGTAATCGCTGCACCTGCCTACTCAAACATTTAATCAGTTCTTCATATTGTCAATACAAGTAAAATGTTTTTTGAATTATTAAAATCGGACGTCCCTTTCTCTTAAAAACTGAGTTACCGTTTTTGACACTTTTTGCCCCGTATCTTTGGAACGGCTAAACCTGCCTTTTACAAAAAAAAACTATTTATTCGTACAAATTTTTGTTAAAATTTTATTAAAAATGCTACAGATTGACAAACTCTGTAACTTTATACTGGGACAAAGAACTCGTCTTATCAATACCGTGTGAAAATAATCGTGCAATTAATTTTAATATGTTGAAAATAGTCGTCAAACAGATAATACCTTACTTGAACATATAATAGATAGAAGTAATCGAAAATAGTTATAATATGTTATTGTTACAATATTTCATTTTAGGCATACATATTTCGAATTTCATATAGTTATTTTTTTGTAATGATAAAATGTTAGCTTCGATTTCAAATAAGCTTTCGGAGTTATTCGAACGCCTGAAGTTATGAATATAGTGAAATCTAGATTTTTCGTTCAAGTGATATTGGATAGGGCGGGGCACAAAGATCCGTTGAATTTAAGTTATTATACTGTCTAATCGAAATAAATTAAATCACAACACATAACACGTATCAAGAAACAACTATGGTCAGTAAAATTCCTAACTATATAAATGTGATTTTATTATTATTTTTCTAAAATTTGTCATATGTCTCCCATAGGCTATTAAAAATAAGACAGCTAGGGCGCAGACAGATCTAATGTCTTATTTTTAATTTTAAAAAAAATTTACGAAATAATAGCTTCGATATTTCAGCATTTCAAACATTTCGAAATATACTTTTTATGGGCACATTTTTTACAAAGATAATACTGTACATAACCTTGATCTGGTATTTCGTCTAAAATATTCATCAGCAGAGTTGGAATAACCATTAATTTAATTTATTTTTTGTAAAATTACTTTTTTTAACTGATTTTACATTTTGCTATTTTTTATTGTTTAGACCTTTGCCAGTGTAAAGGTTCACTTTTTTCAGTTTATCAACTATGGGCTAGCTATTATCGAGGATATATAAAAACATCGGTTAAATTTAATTTAAAATCAACAATACATTCAATAAAACAATTAAATAGCGTACATTTAAAAATTATACGAAGGTCTCTTAAACTAAACAAAAGTTTTCACCTAATAGAAGTTGTTTGATTCATAAGGTGATGTCTAGTTACACACATTTTCCCCTCTACTTTTAAATTTTATTCCTAAATATTTTCTAACTTTATTTGTTTTCGAATTTACCTCAAGACCAAGTTCTGCTCTACCTTATAATATTTTCTTGATTTTTAATTATCTTCAAATTTTTATTCAATTTGTTGGGTTTGAATCATTAATTTCATAAGATATTGTAATAGGAAAATGTTTGATAATCTTCAGAAACAAATATGTAACATTTTTATCATTGCTAATTTTATATTAATAAACATATATGTATATGTGCATACATATAAGCATTATTTTAATTTAATTTATTTATTTGGCCTTACATTCCAATATAGCTTTGCAAACATTTTATACCTTGCAACATTTCAACATACTTATTATTTCAAGTTTTCATAGAATCATAAATTAAACTGTAACACTTCATATTTCTTTTTCTGTAATAAAATTCAAAAGCTTTACAATTTATTTTATACTCTAGATTTCAAACTAATATTTGTGTCTATTCTTCTTACATTTTTTGTTATTTATATTATTATATTTTGTTTTTTTTTTTTATTTTTATTAAAAACATATATTAATGATATTGTATCTAATTCAACAAAAAATATTTAATCAGTGCGTTTTGACAAGATATTTAAATAACTAAAAAATAAAGCTATGTATTGCAAATTTTGCTGTAACTTTAAGCTCCGAGGTATTGATTCAAAACTATGCTTAATTAATATTTATGGTAATTTAAATGTTAGAATTTTCACTCTTTGAAATTTTAATAAAATTGTAATAGAAGTAGTAATGAAACAATTCTTGGTGTTTATGCTTCTTTATTTTTTCAACATCTTATAAATTATTTTCATCTTACATAGATTAAATGGACGGCATTTCACACAGCTTTAGTTATTACATTCACAACAATATAAACATTTCTTTAAATAAATTTATTAGTAATTTAACATAATTAAATTCATATATCTAAATAAATTGTTTACATTCACAGTGAATAAACTAAATATTTTACTAAAAGTGTCTGATTCATAATTATAATTTAAAAATTATAATTAGAATATTTAATAATCTTAAATAATATAATACTTATTGCATTATTAAAAGTTTTATCTACAAGTTTGTAGAAAAATAGTATTTATAATAAACATTTGTATATTACTTTACATCAAAACATTAAAAAATCAGATCAAACATAATTCTGAGATTATATAAAATCTTTAAGGCTAACTGATATAGTCTTAGTCTAGTCTCCTTCAAAATAGTATAAATTCATAGTCAATATGAATTTGTATCGACGCGTTGAAAGCCTTGTGCTTTCTTAATAAATCGAAATTTTCGATCTCCTGGCTAAACTGAACTTTAAAGAGAATCCCTGAATTTCGCTTATTTTTAATCTGATTAAATTCGTTTATTAGTTATTCAATGTCTAATTAAATGTCTGTATGATGGCTTGATTTTCTTTCTTGCATTCCATAACCAGAAGAAACTGATCCTTCTCTAGCTTGGAGTTCGTTTAGTCGCCTGTAACGAGTGCGCCGCGCCTCAACCAGGAACAATGTACCGGCTGGTAATAAAGCTATAGAACCTTCAAAGAAATAAAAAATGATAATACTTTGAAAAATTCATTCTCAAAGATATTACAAAATTACAAATCAATTAAAATAGATTTGATTCAATTATTAGAAAATATACGAATTAATATCTTGCGAATAATGTAGATAAGGTGGAGCAGGGCGTGGGAAAAAGGTTCAACATCATTAGCTCAAGATCAAGTATAGTATGGTGTTTTTTATGATACAATTTTAAAGTGGGGTATTCAAGGGTAGTAACCAGCTTTCGCCTTAAAGATAAGGTGACCATATGTCCCGGTTTGACCGGAACTGTCTGGGATTTTCAACTTGTGTCCCGAGTTTTTCTAAAAGCATATTTGTCCCGGATTTAGTTTTTTTGTCCCTGATTGTCCCGGGTTTTCGACAAATATAGGTCTAAATTGAATTTTCGCCCATACTTAATAAAATTAGGGGGAAGTCCCGTAATGCCGGACGGCACCAAGCACCGGACACTCTATTTAACACGTAGATATTATTTAAGCGAGTATAAATCTTTTCATTTCAAAATACAAATGAAAGGGGCACTAGGGGCACACAGGTACAGGATCACGCGCCAAGCATCGCCTGTGACGCACACGGCCACGGCGAGAGCAACCCTTTCCTGTTTTAGGCGCAAAACTACGGCGTCACCTAAATATCAATAGAAGTAATTCTAGCATATTTATGCATTTACATTTGAGTGGTATGCAAAGATAAAAGTAGTACTTGATTGTTATCCGTAAAATGGTAGAATATTATTGGATCTTTTAACCAATTTTAGTATGTGCCACCAAATGAACGAAAATGTCTGTCCCTTAGCACCGGACACTAAGTCGTCCCTTAGTGCCGGATAGTAAACATATTGATATTTATTGTGAGAATTTACGTAATTTATTTCAATTATTTAATTTTGTTCTGTATGAGTGCTAACGGTCACTACATACCCCCATTTTTCGTATTTCCTAGTCAAAGAATGAAAAGCTTATGGTGAATGCACCAACTGAGAGCATCGATGTGGCACAGCCAAAAAGAGTGGACAAATAGTGACTTTTTTTTGCAATATCTAAGAATATTCGTCAAAGACACATGTGCAGACATTCCAGAATGTGGAGATGGCTACATATGTGATCAATGCAGGTTATTTTGAAATGTCCGGTCTAGGTGCCACTGTTTAAATTATATTTTTTAATAGCAAAGTTTGATTGATAGTATTAATTATATTTTAGCAAAGATTGCGGTTTTGTTAATTTAGTTTGATTTCTAACTTTATTATCTAACATAAATCATAATTTAATAAACATATCGTAAAATATTTTATGATTTATTTATAAATAACCTTAGGTGTCCGCCATTTGGGTACTTCATCCTACAATTACTCATCAAATATCAAAAATGTTATGTATAACAAATATTATGCTTATATGTAAAAGGCGAATTAAAAAAGCCTCTCACATTCATAGTTTTGAACTTTTATTTTCAATTTTACGGAAATTAACAAAAAATATGAAAGTGAACTTTTCGACTGCCTGGAATGAATGCTAATTATATTTAAATAATTGTAAAAAAAATGAAGAAAATTTCATAAGTTTGAAAGCTGAAAGAACATATAGATTCAATATAAGATAAAATATATTATATAATCGAATAATGAAGTTTAAAAAAGACGGATGTTTATTGCATTCTTAAATAGTATTCGTTATTTTAAAATCATATTGAAGTTTTTAGAATAAACCCTCCCGTTCCGTCCCGGATTAGTATAACTAAAAATTACCGTTCCGGTTTTAACTTGAAAAAATATGGTCACCTTACTTAAAGAGGACGATTTCGAGACGAAAGGTCACAATGTCATTTTTTTTTCAACAAAAGTAAGGTATATTGTTATTTTTAAATTAGATTCATCAGGTTTTTATATATAATTCCTAAAGTAGCTTACATTTGATTGATGTAAAAAGATCTGCCTTAACCTTTAAACTGGCAAGGTGTAAATAATAATAAAATAGTGAATACAAAAGTAAAATAAGTTAAAAAAGAAAAGTTATTCCAACTCTGACAATAAATTTACTAAAATTCACTAAAGTTCTGTAAGAAGGCTGTATGCAGTATAAAAAAACTAATTCCTTAATTTGTAATAATTGTAATTCAAGAAACAGCGTGTGAATATGGTAAATTAAACAAAAAATACCTACCAAAGCAAGATTTATGATTGTAGCAAGAGTAGATACAGATTTTTACATATTACTTTATAATATTCAGTATTATTTTTAAATCTAATAATTAAACGGCATAAATTGTAACTATCATTTCGTAAAATCTTTTTATAATTAAAAATGAAATAGTGGACCTTTTTGCCCCCTGGTTTCTGTCCCTTGTTATCCGGCCTAAGAGTTAGAAAGGACTAGATGACAAATTACAAAAAATAGCAAAAAAAAACATATTTGGATTTTGATGAATTATCTGTTTAGGTGCTTGTTTGGTATATATTATTTGTTGTGATGTAAGTAGTTGGTTTGGTTTTTATAGTAAATTACTAAAAGTCTTGAATTGAACTTTCGTGCCCTGCCCTATTCTATATATGCATTGGAGTAGAAAATTTTAAAATAGAAATTTCTCTAAGTAAATGTATTCTATTATAATCTATTCTTAAATCTATTTGAGAAATTAGTTAATATAAATCGAATAAAATAGATATATATATCATCTTCCAAATAAATAAGTTTTTGTTCAAGCTCTCTGAATCCATGATACGGATTATTTACTGGTAATTTGATACGAAAACTAACTATTTTATTTATTAAAATAATCGAACAATGTCAATATAGGTATATATATATATATATATATATATATATATATATATGAATGAGTTCTTGAGGGCGATACATCAAACAAAGAAAAGCCAAAGATTTATAAAATAATCTTTATTTCCAAACGTTTCGACATTCAATTTAATGTCATCATCAGTGGATATTATGTTGGTTGGTTACATATAGAGAAGTGTACACCGCACTAGAGATTGGCACCAACATTTATACAACTAACTTGTCAACACTATGCATTTTTTATAATTTTTTGTATGATGTAAACAGAAAAATGATAGTTTTATTGAACAAAAATGTAAGTAGAATTATGTAATTTCTGCCACGACTTCTGTACTTTGCGAGTACCGAGGAAATAAAGATTATTTTATAAATCTTTGGCTTTTCTTTGTTTGATGTATCGTCCTCAAAAACTCATTCATATATTTCAACATCAAAATTAACTACTAAATCATATATATATATATATATATATATATATATATATATATATATATATATATATATATTTACCTATATTGATATATATATATATATGTTTAATTTGAGTTTAATATTCGGGCGTAACATCAATAAAAATAATATATATTTTTATTGATGTTACGCCCGAATATTAAACTCAAATTAAACATATATATCAACATCAAATTCAAGACTATTCAAAAAATATATATATATATATATATATATATTTAATGAAAATTTCGATTTAAAGACACTTCTTTTAAAGACTACTTCTTTTAGTAAGCTAAATATTAATAATGTCTCTATTCTTTGGAAATAAAGATTATTTTATAAATCTTTGGCTTTTCTTTGTTTGATGTATCGCCCTCAAAAACTCATTCATATATTTCAACATCAAAATTAACTACTAAATCATATATATATATATATATATATATATATATATATATTTACCTATATTGATATATATATATATATATATATATATATGTAGCGGGTTGCCAACACGCATCGCGGCTTGTCAACACGCATCACATGTTACTGGACAGATTGGCCCATATATTGACAGCACAGAAAAAAACAAAAATAAATTCAAGTGTCAGATCGGACATGGCTTTTGTTTCTCTCTAGTGGAATTTGCCTAAAATGTATAATTCTTGAAACCTTTCTTTTCTATTATAAATAAGAAAATACCAATAACGTTTTATTAATGATCAGTATGACAACACATAGTGTCGTGGATATTAATCATATATAAAATAAACGAAATATAAATAATATTTTATGAAATTTATTATGACTACAATTGGTATTAATATGGACTAAGCCTCCATATTTTGGTGACCCCGAGAGTGAACTAGTAACACACATACAAGAAGGTAAGAAGATCAAGACATATTTTGAAGTAGCACAAAAAAAATAAATTGAAGTCTCAAGAATTACTAAGAAAAGAATTTTTAAAAATATAAATAATTATTATAAATGGCTCACAACCGCCATAACTAGAAGAACATTCTAATCCTACAACTGAGACCCCGACCACGCACTTCAAGATCAACAATAACACGTGCTCAATAAATCACTTATTATCATGGTAAATAAGTCGATAATAAGCACCATGGCAACAGACAGGGAGCAAACAATTTGGCAACCGCCACATACACTCAACCGCTAACTCACCAGCGAAGGGCCACATACACTCAACCGCTAACTCACCAGCGAAGGGCCACATACAATCAACCGCTAACTCACCAGCGAAGGGCCACATCTACTCAACCGCTAACTCACCAGCGAAGGGCCACATCTACTCAACCGCTAACTCACCAGCGAAGGGCCACGTAAGCAATCAACAAACTCAACAAGCCAACACGGCAATTTATCACACAATCTCAACCAAAAGAAATTTACAAGGAAGTTCAAGAATGGCAGTCAGAGATGCGAAACAATCTTTTTCATTAGGGCGGAGTGATGTAGCGGGTTGCCAACACGCATCGCGGCTTGTCAACACGCATCACATGTTACTGGACAGATTGGCCCATATATTGACAGCACAGAAAAAAACAAAAATAAATTCAAGTGTCAGATCGGACATGGCTTTTGTTTCTCTCTAGTGGAATTTGCCTAAAATGTATAATTCTTGAAACCTTTCTTTTCTATTATAAATAAGAAAATACCAATAACGTTTTATTAATGATCAGTATGACAACACATAGTGTCGTGGATATTAATCATATATAAAATAAACGAAATATAAATAATATTTTATGAAATTTATTATGACTACAATTGGTATTAATATGGACTAAGCCTCCATATATATATATATTTAATGAAAATTTCGATTTAAAGACACTTCTTTTAAAGACTACTTCTTTCAGTAAGCTAAATATTAATAATGTCTCTATTCTTCTCATATGATAAGTCCTAATTATTAATAATATTATCAAACATTTTGTTTTACATTAATCATTCCTATTTTTGCAAATATCAACATACCCAAAACAGCCAAAGCATATGCCCAGCCCATATCGTTATGCTCCCAGTTGGGCATCCAGTCCCTGCCATCGCCGCGAATTCCAAAAATTATCACTGCTATTAAACCAGATATGCCTGAGGATTAGAGAATTTAATCATAAATAATAATATTATATTTCGTGCAATCAGTTTTTACCTAGGATTATGAATAATTATTAAGCAAGTTAAATTATTGGTATAAAATGAATAAAAATGGTTATCGATTGTTCTTTGTGATATAAAAATTCCTAGTACTTCTAAAAACTGCAAAGGACCAATGAGTGTCATAATAATACTATAGGGTGGAGCGGGTTTTATAAGTCCGCAAGTAGAAAGTTCCACCACCGACATCTCAAATATCAGTAAAGTTAAGATTTTTTAACGATAATATTTGAAAGTAGAGGGTAAAAGATGTATAACCAGCCTTCGTCTCAATTCCTACGATGTTGCTATTAGGAAATAAACATCAATGTTTTAAAATCTATAACCAAAGCATTTTCTTTCGTTATTAGTTTTTGTGGTTGTGAGAACTGTTGCTTAGTTTACGAAACCTGAATATATATTTTTAAGAATACGTTATTTAATTGATTTATGAGAAATATTGTTAATTTTAAGTCAGATTCAACATTATTTCATATAAATTCTATAAAAACTAACACTTGAGCGGGTTATAGAGCACCGATTTAACCTTTGGCAAAGGTGTTAAAAATAGCAAATAGAAAAGTAAGTTGAATTGACCTATGAAAGTTATATTCTGCATTGCTTGAATAATGCAGCTAATAATTGGTTAAATCCCTTTAAAATTGAAATAATATATATCTATATATATATATATATATATATATATATAAAGGACCTGTTGGGGTATGGGGTAGAAAGAACCAGGATACACATTTTTGAAAAGCAATATAAAAAACACATTTCTACAATGATGAATTAGGTGAGAGTATTACTGAACAAAGTCAGATTGGTCTTTGTTGCGTTGAAATTAGTTTGAGTCTCACAATATAATTGCTCAAAGTGAAATTGAGCCTTTGTGCCCCGCTCTACTCTATAGTTTTGCTAACCACTTTTGTTTTTTACCACTCAACAGACGAGAGCGACACAAATTGTATAAATAGTGTATTTGATAATGAATGAAAGCATCCATTAACTTTTTTTAATATAATAAAAATTATGGAATTGAGGCATATATCTCACCATATGAAGTCATCAATTTTGGTGTATGATTTGTTTGTAATTTGAAATTAACACAGAAAAATATGAGTTTTGTTAGCGCTGGTAAGAGAATTTCTGCAGAATTGAACTTGTCCTTTATGATTTATCGGTTTAGTATCGTTATCATTATCAATATCGGTCTGCATTCACAAATATTTTTAAACCATGAGAGGAAAACTAACGATTTACTTAAAAGTTATATGTCTCGCATGACACATAAGAAATAATATAATAAATGTTTCCTGTTCTGCTATAAAAATTATTCACTCCACATATTTTCTGAAATATCAAGAATGTATCCACTAAAATTGTGTTTCAATATACATTAGATATTATAATATAAATATATTCCTTTTTAATAAGGCATATGTACTTTACCTAATAATAAATATGTAACTTGGGCTTTTTCTCAATTAAAATCATAAGATAGATGTGGTGAGATGTATGCCGGCGAGGCAAATTCAATAAATGCGACATAAGGCAATGAATCACACTTGACCTTTAAATTGAGCTTCTCCAAAAGGGGTCTTATTAGTTCAATTATCGCGTTTGTCATCGTTAATCATGTTACGTTCAAGAGATGCTGGTTCATGTTTAATACAATTAACACGTTTTGTTATCTTTTTATTTGATGCGTATTGCAATGAAATAAATTATTTTACAGCCAAACTGTGACAAATGTTTGAGATATCCGTGCCATCTTATGTGTTCGTAATAATCGTATATATAGGGTAGGTCCGGGCACAAAAAAGTCCAATTTGACTTTGAGCAACTATATTATAAAAACCAAACGAATTATATCACAACAAAAGAAAATACTTTTGTTATTGATATTCAAACGTTGCCGTTTATATTCCAATAGCAACATCATAAAAATCAAGGTGATGTCTGGTTATACATCTTCTTCCCTCTACTTTCACATATTGTGGCCAAAAAATTCTTGACTTGTATCCAACGACTAGCTGTTTGAAGACCAATCTGTGAGATGAGATTTTCTTGTTCACACATTCCATCTCAATCCATTATTAGTTGATGTGAAATGATATCCATCAACTCTAATGCAGCATTGTATTTAATGGAGTGTTTCAATCATTACATTATTATTTTTCACAGTTGACGTGAAATGATATCCATCAACTCTAACGCAGCCTTGTATTTAACGGAGTGTTTCAATCATTACATTATTATTTTTCACAATATCAAATACATAACTAGTGGTAAATACCATTTTGCTTAAAATGTACGAACTTCCAGACAAGTATACATAAATAACTTAATCACTAAGAACTGAGAGCTATTTTTATAAAATATTGAACAGTTCATTTGGAAAATAACATTTATAAAATAAACAAAACATTTATAAAACAAATAAAGAAAAGTTCAACATTCACAAATAAATTGAACGGTCACTTTTATATATTTTACATGAAAAGTTAGAATCAAAACTTGATCAAGCGGAGTTAGAATGTAGAAACATATTTCATATTTCAAAGAATTATATACATAAAATGAATGCAAAGTTAAAAGTGTTCATCTGAAGTGTGAGCTTGCAAAAATCAGTCCAGCCGTTTCGGAGATATGAAGGAAAGAGTGCAAAAAATAAAAATTGAATTTTTGAGAGAACAGAGCATCCGATTTGAATGATTAAAAAAACAAATCAATTTGTAATTGTAAGAAGACGGAGTGATTAGTTTTTGACAAAGACATTCTAGCCGTTTCAGAGACAAGGAGATAAAAATGAAAAAAAGGCAGGTTTTTGAGACAATAAAGCTTCCGAATCAAATGATTCAAAATACATTTTACTTGTGAAGAAACGATTAGTAACGAAAGCAAAATTTTTTTTCCAAAATCTCAAATAATTTTTTTATTTCCAATTTTATTTTTTTTAAATATCAAGAATGATTCGGATTTTAATTTTAATTTCAGCTGAAAATCCGAAACTCTCTTACACACTTAAAATAAGTAAGTTTAACTTTACAATTCAGTTTATAAAATTTACTCTTTTTTAAATTCTTTTCTCCTAATTCTAACTCCGCTTGATCCAGTTTCATTTATTTATTTTTCAGGTAAACATATATAAACTTTGTCATCGAATTTATCAGCTTCTATATTTTGCCATTCAAATACCAATAATGAAAGTTACAGTATTTACAATAATTTATTTGAAGTCATTTAATATTTCTCGAATATTTCATTACGGCACGGAAAGTTCCAGCAATTTGCCCTAACGCACGATGCTATACAGTGTATAGCATACACCACTAGTGATGATTTGTCTTCTTACGGAAAATAATCCGAAAACTATGAAAGCTCTTAATTGATACATCGATTATTTTTATAATAAGCAAGTTTGATAAAAACTGATTTTTTATTGCGCAAAAATTAGTTTGTAACAAATGTTATGCAAGAATGCAATAGATATTATTTTTAAATCTATTTACATATGTCTCTATACTTTAACTGCAATTATTCTATTATTGCCTTTTTGGACATATTAATTCGAAATAAAACGTGTATTGTATTGTATCTCACAATCAGACCAAAGTATTCGACAAATGATCACAGATCACCAAAAATAAATTTAAGTAATGAGAGAAGTATTTAGTAAAAGGTGCTCCACTGTATGGAGCACCACCACTGTATTTGATGGTGCACTTCTACTTAGCTATTTATTTAGCCATAAATTTCATTATCTAGAATACCCTTATCATGATTTGGAAATGTGACTTTAGTTTCATATTTTATGATCTTACTAAGTTAAAATAACTTTGCTCATTTAGTACCTGCTATAATTAGATCTGTTCCTACGGTCAGTAAAAGCAGCAAATATCTATCATGATGCCTGCTGCATATGCAAAACAAGGCAACTAACGCTACTGCGATTAGAAGCAATGTCATACATACTGTAAAGAAGAATTGAGTCGCTACAAAAAATCCGGGCAATAGGAAATCACCTGAAATATAAGAAATGAATTTGAATAAAAATTAATTTAAACAATAAATATTATATTATTTTAGCTAAATAATTATAAAAAATATTATCTTTCGATTTCGGAAGCGCTGCTCAGCAGATTTAAATATTGAAAAAATATTTGATTCGTACTGACTGCTAGACGTACTGATTAGTTTTTGGGTAAGGCACAACTATCTGCATGTAGCTACTAGCCAGGGTCAAGTAGATAGGTAAAGAAGAAAACTGGTATACCAGTAGACAGGTAAACAGGTTTACAATGAGACATGTAGAAAAGTAACTAGGTATACAACTAAATTGGTGTGCAAGTACTCAGGTTGGAAAGTAGACAGGTACACAAGTAAACAGATGAACGGCTATTCAAATACACAGGTAGGCATCTAAACAGACAGATAGACAGGTGTAAAAGTAGGCAAGTAAATAAGTAAACAGATATACAAGCTAAATAGTAAATAGGTCGTGAAGCAGACAGGTAGACACTAATGGACCGATTCTGCCGCATAACAGACCAATATTATGGCAAGGCTATAACATGAAGATTTTTTCATACTAATTATTGGCAAAATCATGTGGTTGCTGTGCAGTCAGGCGTATTTCTCAGGTTGTCATATACAAAACCTAACCTAGAAACCGAACAAATGTCAAAAAACGATGTTAGATAAGAGTGTGTTTCTGATACAGCTCCGTAACATACGAGTAACGTTGCAGTTTATGTGTCAAACGCCCGAATGCACAGCAAATACCTGACATTTTGACAGTATTCAGTATAATACAGTAGCATAATGTATGGAAGTTGGAGCGTAACCTGGCCTTGCCATAACATTGGTGTGTTGTGAGGCAGAATCGGCCCATAAGACAGTTATTATTTATTACTCCGTTCATTAACACACATCAGAAAGTTCATCCAAGTTGCTTGAGGCAGAATGCCACTTTTCTCTAGTTTATTTTTGATAATGTGGTATGTATGAGTATGAATGCTCTTGTTATTAGGTTTTAGAATTGAGTGTTTTAAATTGCATTCTTGGATACACTTTATCCACCAAAATAAATCTATTTTGAAACGTTAAAATTTCTACTAGTTGTATAAATCTGTAATATATATTTATAGAGAAATATAACTCTTTTAGAACTCAAAATCTCATGTAAAGATACGTTTCTTAAACTTTGAAGGCTTCTCCATTTTTGACTATCTCTTGATATGTTTTTTATTAGAAAGCAACTAATTGGTAGCCATTTTCTTTCAAATAGTGATGATATATCTTTACACATTGCAACAATGCCGGGTAAGAATATTTTATATGATTTGAGTTTTCAAGTGAAAAATTAATGTATATTTTTATTGATAATAAATATATGCATACTAAGAAAAAAGTTTTCAATTAAAAATTAATATCAGTACAGCTTGATATCAGGTTGTCCGAATCGCGGATTTGACCCTAAAGCTCTCTGATCGTAAAGCCGGATGCTCTACGAAATATTTATAGTATATCTAAATAGCTATTTTAAATTAAATTTTGTTATAAATCTTGAAACTTTACCTATTATGTAAAATTCTTCTTCGAAGACCCACCAACATCCTGTAAACCTAGTGTCGTACCAATGATGTATATCTTCAAAGTCTTTAAAGCAAACCTCCCATAAACCTGCAGAAAATAAATGCTCAAATGAATGAAATAATATAGTATTAACAGCTCTAAAAACTACACACCTGTAATATGAGAGCAGTAACATTGCACGTTCGTATTGTAATACTATTGAAAAATGTCACAAGTAAATTGAGAAAAAATATTTATTCATAATACATATTGCAAAAATAGTGTATACATGACAAATAAATCAATTGTAAAAAACGAGATATTTGTAATGAGCATAATTACTGTGTACTAATATGAAAAATATATGTATATAGGTAATATATCTCAAATGTAAACTGTAAAATCTAAACTGCATATCAGTGAATAAAAGTAAACTAAATAAGATAAATTAGGTAAAATTCCATAAAATTGTTCCATGTGTCAAAACTTATCAAAAAATCAAATATTATTTTAACAACACACAATAAGATAACTTATTTTGCATTGTTTATCTAATCGTAAGTATTGAATTATCTGTGGTTATTTATATACCGGCGCAATGGAATTATTTATTAATATAATTATAAAATTCTTTGAATATTTATAAAAATCATTTAGCTTATTTATAAAATAATATTTGAAGAACAATAATTTAAAAAAAAAGAAATATAAAAATGTGTCATATACAGGGTTTCCCATAACTCAATGTCAAACCGAAACAGGGTGACAGAATTGATTGTAACTATCAAGATTTTTTTTTTAATCTATGCAATTTCGAAAATACGAGCTTTCAAGTACAGCTCAGAGTAGAGCTTTGATCGAACTTTGATAATTTTTCAGTGTTTAATTTTAATTATTTTTGTTCATTCAAACTTTGCAACTGTAATCATAAATTACATTTCTCGGACTACAGTAGAAAATAATGACAACATTGTCACACGATTTCTTGAATAAAAACTATTTGTTAAACAATGAAATTAAAATATTTAAAACTGGCCAAATTTGAAAGCTCGTTTTTTTTAATGTACTAAAGTTCCAGTAAAAGTGGGCGCATTTAATCAGGATTGTCAAGATATGGTGCAATTTTTTAGTAGCATACTAAAAAAAACAAGTAAGGTAGTGGTTTCCAACCTATTCGTACCGCGCCCTCCCGTTCTTTTAAAAAATAATGCTGCGCCTCCCTTAAATATTCTAACAATCTAATTTCGTAAAATAGTCAACTGATATAATGTATTTGTCAGGCTACAAATTAATATAACATATTATGAAAAAATAATTTAGGCTTGCAACGAATAATGTATTCGGCAAAAAAACGAATACCGAATATTCGGCATGCTTCAGAGACCGAATACCGAATATTCGGCGTATTAATGTATTTGCTTAGTAATTACTATTCAAAGTTGTTATATTACTAACGCACTTCATGTTTATTCACATTTTATGCCTAAGTTTGCAACGACTATTCAGCTACTCTTTGTTATTTGGAATATTTGGCATGATTTATACTATTCGGCCGAATAGCGAATACTTGAGTAACATATGTGATGTGAAATAAATGATAAAATGATAAAAAAGCGATTCTTTTATAAACATAAAATTATTTCTTATAGATTATTATAGAGCAAAAATTTAGTTTGTAATTTTTCGATAAAGAACCTATATTTGATCTTTTTTTAGAAAAGCTTATATGTAATATAATAAATAGCATTATTAAATATATTTACAACACATTTTTTTAACTGTTGGATTATAACAAACATATATACATTTAACAATAACGTATCCTTTGTATATTCAGAGGAGTGTTGTATTCATGTCATTTTTAATCTCACAATAACAAAATCCTTTCTTCATATCCTAAAGACTTCCAAGTGCAAATTCATTGCAAGCTCTTGATCGCATAAAAGTAGGCTTGCAACGACTAGTATATTCGGCAAAATGCCGTATACCAAATATCCGGCATGCTCTAAAGACCGAATACCGAATATTCGGCTACTATTCGGCAGATTTTTGGCGCCTAAACTCGTTTGTATTAATGTAACTACTATCAGTAGTTGTTATATTTCTAACGCGCTATATGTTTATTCAAGTTTTATGTATATCCTTGCAACCACTATTCGATTACTCTTTATAATTTGGAATATTTGGCACCATTTATACTATTCGGCTGTATACCGAATACTTGAATACTATATAAATGGTAAATAAATAAATGGTAAAATCATGAAAAAAGCGATTCTTTACATTTATATAAATGTAATTCTAATTATTTCTTTCCTAAACATTTTATATTTTCTTTTATAAACTCATTATTTCTCAGATATTAGGAAGGCTAATCATAATAAAATAAATAAAAAACTGGTTAAAAATATTGTATGTATATTTTGTGATAAGGAGTCGATAATAGCTATTTGTTTGGAAACGCTTAGATTGAATATAATAAATGATTTTATTGTATAGATAAAACACATGCGTGTAACCATTGAATGATTTATCGTAGTTAACATAAACATGTAACAATAAATTTTCTTTTGAATTTTCAGGAAAGAGCACTTTACGTGTTCATTTATAATCTCACAATCATAAAGTTTAAATTATTATATATACACAAAAACATTTCTTCATGCTATGTTATGTAAACTAAACACTTCTAAATACAGATCCATCGGGAGCACTCTGAGCTCTTTATCAGAAAAAATATAATACACCAACATTATTGTCGCTGAGTGGCGGCGGAGCCTTTGATTTTAACTTACTATTCGGTGTTCGGCCGAATAGTAAGCTACTATTCGGTATTCAGCCAAATATTAAAAAAGATGCCGAATATGCCGAATACCATATAGCAACCTAATATTCAGTACAAGCCTACATAAAAGATAAAACCCACACACAATATTTTCGCCGAGCGGCGGCGGCGCCTCCTTTGATTTTACCTATTCGGCATTCGGCTGATAGTAAGTTACTATTCGGTATTTGGCAAATATCAAAAGAGGTGCCGAATATGCCGAATAGCGAATAGTTGCCGAATATGCCGAATAGCGAATAGTTGCCGAATATTCGGTGCAAGCCCTAAAAAATATACATAAATAATAATTATTTATAGATTTAGTTTTATATATGATATCAACGTTTTTGGTTTATTTTTTGGAAACAGTATTTTGGAAACAGGTGTACGACCCACATGTAACATCCTCGCGCCCCACAGGTTGGAAACCATAAAAGAAATAAAAATTTGATAACCCCATATTTTCACTGCACAAGTTAAATTACGTTTATTAGGACATTTTAAAGTAATAAAATTTATAATAAACTTAAATTTAATAAGCAGTCATATAAATTATTATTAAATTTTAATATGTCTACAATATTGCTTAATAATATAAAAATATTGAATATTATTTTTAATATAAAAAATGTAAACAAACGCGCGTACGAGCCCACACCTTTTTTACCTGCAACACAACATAACAAAACCAACACATGGACACGCTCACTAACGGTGACTCACGGTAACACTAACTCACCTATCTTCTGAAATTTCGGATTTCTTATTTTTTTATCAGCCTGCAACCAGTATGGTGATACGAAAGCTATTAGCACAAATAGAAAACCCACTGCCGTGAAACCCACTGCAAATTTTCCAGTTTTTGTCTTTGGCATTTTATATAGAAAGCGAAACTATTTTATTTTAACACTATTATTTTGATCGTTCGTAACCGTGCCACGGTACAGACAGGACTGAAGTCGGCCGGGCGTTGTCACGGAATAGTGCGTGAAACACGACTACATTTTTCGATTATTCGATGTAAAACATCTCTAACCGAGTGGTTTATTTAAAATTTAATGTAAATTTCTACGCGCAAATACATTACAATGATACAACATATTAAAATAATATTAATAAATATGTAACTGGTGGTGCATGCCATCGTGTCATAAGAAAAACTATAAACTGTCTACCGTAATTTCAAATTTTTAAAAGTCTCAACAATTTTAGAAAACTTGAAAACAAGAGAAGAACTTAGAACAGTCTAACGGTTAAACATTTTAAATCTTTTTGGCATTTCATAGAAAAATTAGAAGCATGTCTGTGCTTGTATGTGTATGTATGTGTATGTATGTGTATATTATGTATGTGTATATATGTATGTTTTGCATAATTCAAAAACATTTTACTTGTATTGACAAAATGAGAAAAATTGCATTTTTCGGATCCTATAAAAATGTAACTAATGGCTTATGCATCGTGCCTTAAGGCAAATTGCTGGAACTTTTCGTACTGTAACGAAATGTTCGAAGAATATTAAATGTTTTCAAATAGTTTATTATAAAAAAAATACTGTAACATTGCCTTATACTTATAAGTTACTTATAATTCTTATACTTATAAGAATTATATAAACTGAATTGAAAAGTTAAAATTATTTATTTAAAATTTAAATAAATAATTTTAACTTTTCAATACTTTAAATTTTAAAGTATATAAGTGAGCTTTAGAACTTTAGCAAGAATTAAAATTAAAATCTGAATTATGTTCGATATACAAAAAAAAAATTTTTAAAGCAATTGTTTCGTCAACACAAGCAGAAAGTTCTTTTAATTATTCAAATCGGATGCTTAGTCCTCTCAAAAACTGTAATTTGTTGTACATTTAGCTTCGTATCTTCGAAACCTCTGCACCTACCTATGCCAAAAACTTACCATCACTTCCCCCAGCATTACGAATTGAATGTTTTTTAGATCATTTAAACCGGATCGTATGCTCCGTTCTCTCAAAATCTCGATTTATTTTTTCTGCAATCTTTGCTCTGTATCTCCGTAATGGCTGGGCCTGCCTTTGCTAAAAACTAATTAAAAACAGCACATCTCCCTATCCTATCGATAGGGAATCGAATGTTTTTTGAACCATTCAAATCGGTTGAAAATGCGGACATACAAACACACACACGAACACATTCATTTTTTCTCAGGTATGGCAAAGTGTTCAGAAACCTTCAAAACGTGAAGATATACAAAAATTTTCGAATTTTGGCCCACTACTATAACTACGCTATAGGAAGTTAATACCCTACGAGAAGTTAAAAAAATATTGTTTTGGGGGTCAAAAATGATCCTTAGACACATGCACATCAAATTATTATATATTTTATAGAAATTTTAAAAATAAGTACAAATTTTATTTACATTTCTATAGGTTCTTAATGTTCATGCGTTAGACTGCAACGCAGCGCCTACGCGTTTCCATATATATCGTCTCTAAAATAGCTACGCAACGCAAACGCTATGAAAAAATTTCGAACTATTCAAAAATGTATTTTTTTAAGTTTTTAAAACTTTTTAAAGCTTTTTATAAGCAAATAATTTTTGGTACGGGAAGTTCCAGCAATTTGCCTTAAGACACGATGCCAAGCGTAGTCATGTTGATAATTTTGTATGTTATATTTATCAATCAGTGAGTTCCAACACTTTGCCTTTAAGTGCTTAAGTTAATTTTCTTTCCTTTTCAAAGCTTGGATTATAAAGTGTGAAATTAATTGTTGAAGTTTTGTTAAAACTGAAATACGAGGGTGGGCTGAAAAATTTCCGACCTCAACACGAAAAAGGTGCTACTCGTCAATAAAAACTGTTGAATGAAGTTGTGCATCTTTTAGAAGTTACTCGCCAAATTTTTGGTCATTTTGGGCGCTCCGTTTTCAATCGATAGCCGTTTGAGTAAGTACATGTAAGTGTTTTTGTGAAAATAGAAAAAATTTAATATTGAGCTGTAATTAAATATTTGTTTTTGAAAGGCTGTACGGAAAGGCAAATAAAAGACATCTTATGTTATGTGTGGTACCTCTGCACCATCATTTTCCACAATAAAATTTTTGGAGTTGAGTTTAAACGTGGCCGTAAAAGCTTGGTAAACGATGATCGTTCATGACGTCCAAAAACTTCAACTTCTGAATATAACATTGCTAAAGTTCATGAAATGATGTTAGACCAACGCCGAATCAAAGTGTGGAAAATACCAGAAAAAATGAAGATATCTAAAAAATGTGTTTTTCAAATATAAAAAGGTAAATTATACATGAGAAAGCCGTCCGCGCTTTGGCTGCCGCGTTTTCCCAGGATAGACATGTTCGAATAAGCATTTTCAACGCTCTTAAGGCTGTAGATGAATCTTGGATTCACCATTATACGCCTAAAACAAAGCTACAGTCAAAACAGTGGACTACAAAGGGGGAAACAGCTACAAAAAGAACAAAAACAGTTATTTTGGCTGGAAGTGTAATGTATTCTGTATTTTGGGATAGTCATGGAGATATTTTATTCGATAATCTTCAAGAAGGAAAAACCAATAGGAAAGCATACTACGCACCATTACTTGACGAGCAAAAGGCCAAATGATCACATTTGCAGGAAAAGAAAAGCCCGTTTTACCAAAACAATGTGTTGTCTTTGCCATGGCAAAAATCCACCAGTTACGATTGGAACTTATTGGACCATCCACTTCACTCACTAGATCTGCCAGTAGCACCAAGCTACTTCTTGTTATTTTCTTATTTAAAAAGGAAAAAATGGTTGTATCGTTGTTAGGCGGAAACTTTTCAGCTCATCCTTGTATTGTTCATTTTTAATCCCTAGTTATTCCTACAAGGAAACAACTCCCTGCTTAACTTTTTTAACACTTAACTTATTTTGATGACTGTATTTAATATAAAGCTACAATGTGGTTGAAAATAATATTAGTAAAAAGATTAGGCAGCAACATTCTTTTACCAAGAATAAATATTTTTAGTCTTCTTATAAAGTATTCTTTTTTTTCAATTTCTATAGTTAAATGTTTAAAATTAAATTGATCATTATTTTGAATGTTGTATTGAATTCTTATTTCAAATTTAATTTTAATATGTTATGTATGATTAGTGTTCTATGAACCTACGGATATGAGGAAAGCGAGTAGAATTCTTGAATTTCCGTTACCGGAACCACTGGCATTCTGCACTCCCAATATGGCCGAACTGCGGGCAATGGCTGCTGCAATAATGGAAAATAGCCTGGTCGAAAATGTAAGTGGGAAAATGAATCAAATAGTATATATATATATATATATATATATATATATATATATATTGCAAACTTCTTCTCTGAACTGCTTTTTAATATTCATGATGATTTTCAATCAAACTAAATTTGTTGGTAGTAAAAACTGTGAAAATGTTTGTCTAATTGCTGCATGATCAGGCGTTTTACACATAAAACCGTATGTTATAACATGCGCATCACAAAGATCCAGTTATCTAATATTCTTTCTTGGTTTATTTATATGTAAAAAACTGATGCAGATATATTGTATAGTATAATTTAAATAATATAAATATATAGTAAAAGGTTGTTCAAAAAGTAATTTCATTTTTCTACTAGGATTTAATTGTATACCACATAGAATGTGGTATACAATACTATCTTAAGTTTCTTACCACATAGGATTTATTTGCATTTTTTTATCGCACCCTAAAATTATTATATGATTTGAAAGCTTTTGTATTGAGGCTTGTATATAAAATTTTAATCAATTATATGTAGTAATTTTTGGATTGTGTTTCTTTAAATATGGAAAGAATAAGCAGCATTTTGACATAAGTTACTGTTTTACTGCGTATAAAGTTAAAAATTTATGTATAGAAAAATGACAGTGCCAGAACTGGTTTGTTAAATTTCGATTCGAAAATTGATTTTAAAGATGCGCGTTCATGAAGAACGAATAAGGCGAGAAAGGCATCATTTGATGCAAACCGGCAAATAACAGCACATTGAATTTTAATTTATCAAATTTAACTGTTCATGACTACTTGAAAGGTCAGAGATTTTCCTAGAAGCTCATAAGTTTTCTAGGTTCTCATAGAGAGAAACCTTTGTCGCCACATTGTCGTCTGCGATTCCCTTCTGAAACATTATGAAGATGATCAGTTTGGAGGCGAATTATCACTAGGACAAATGGGATGAATACAAAACCGATATTCACCAGGAACAGGTGATGCAGTATGTTTGGTGAGATTATAAAGAAGTAGGTCGTATTTCACATTTTTCAACACAGCATAATTGTTTATTCGGATACCTACATTTATCAGCAGAATTAATCAACAGTCGAGGTGTAATATTGCACCAAGACGACGCGCGACCTCACATAAGTTTGGTCAATCGCAAAAAGCTTTTACAGTTTAAATGGGATACAATCCGACAGCCACCACATTCTCTTGGTTGGCATCACCAGACTATTATTTGTTTTGGTCACTGAAAAAAATTTAGACGGTAAAACATTCAACTCAAATGAAGTCAAAAAGCACTTTGATCGGTTTTTTACCAATAAGAAATATAACAAAAGATGTTCGACTGAAACGGCCAATATATAATTTATCGTACGAAAATAACTAGTCAAAATGTAATATATAACAATCAAAATGTAATATATAACACAACCCAATATAATATATAACTTTGTTCTTTTATACGATGTTGGTTTATTTAAAAATAACTATTTTGTTTTAAATATTATTACTAACTCTTATTTGCAGGTGGCAGACAAATACTTGTTGGCAGAACTTAAATCATTATGTTCTACTCTGATCTTCGAGAACATTGTTGATGTTCTTGTAGTGACTTTAGGAGATAAAGGTGTTGCAATCGCCAGATTGTGTGACAACTCTGAAAGGCTATTTGACGACAGCGGTGTCTATATAAAACCAGGACACAAAACTGATAAAAAAATATCTGTTCGATTATATCCACCTGTAAGACTTGATTTATATAGAATTCTGAATGTTATTTGATATAAAAGATATGTTTGTTAAAGCTCTTGAATCAAATTCACAAAAACTAAACACAATATATAAAAAATTATTGTATTATCTACTTTATATTAAATAATTAATAACAGTTGGGAAGTAATGAACTAAATTAAATGCAAAAATTGTTTTTGATTTTATATAAGTATAGTAACTACATACACAAGTAGTAGTAGAAGAATTAATTTGTCCGTAATTTTAATTGTATTATTATATTAATTATTATCTAAAACAAATATTAATCCTATGTATTAATTATTGCATCAATCTAGGCGCAATTACCTGCCAACTCGCTCTTGGCCAACACTTCTGGAGCAGGTGATTGTTTCGCAGCAGGATTCGCGGTGGCTGCTATGCTTGGTGTTACTTTAAATGGAGCAGTTGCAGCAGGAAACACTACAGCAATACGTGCTCTTCTTTCTAATATTCCCGTTCCTGATAAACTATTTTTGTTGACTAAACAGAATTGGACAAGTGAAGCAACATATAAAGAATTGTGATGATATGAAAATTATGGCGAAACTTTTGTTTATTAAACTTCTTATGATATTCGAAATAACAATTTTCTAATAAATACATATAAATTACAACTGTATGCGATTTTATTATTGAACTTCCTGTATTATTGAACCTTCAATACTCCTGTATTTTTATCATTATAAATTTAATACATAAGAAGTTTTTTTAGTAAAAATATTTATAATATTTATTGTATCATGTTTGTATGTACCAATTATTTTTTAAAATCGATTTTATATTTGTATCCTACACTACAAGTTATGATGTACAATTTTTTGAACAAGATTACGTCAACAGTTGGTTCGGGCAATATAATATTTAACAAAACCAAGCTATTTTCATTTTTATTAATCAAAAATAAGTTTTGTCAAATTTTTCATCGAAAGTTACATAAGCTTCAAAGTGAAGAAAAATTTCTTTGTGTAATATATCGTCTGTTTGATGGAATGAGAGTAATCAACTATTCGGGCAAGGAGTGAGAAATTCGATCTAATTGCTCAACATATGAGATCAGTTTTCTAACCGAACTCAGATTTCTATTGCAGCTATTTCTTCTCCCTCTATATTTCCTTTACACTACTTGAAAAGCAGTATAAAATTATTTTTTTATGAAGATCATCTTCAAATCAAAGAAATTGATAATCTGAAGAATAATAAATCTTCAGACTTTGGCTTAGTGATGTCCAGAATGCTTAAAGAAATGCACAAGGATAGTATTTATCTTTTAAACATGTATATATATATATATTAGAGCGGGTCGATTTGTATGGGTCAAAAAAGTCCCTTAGGCACACATGATTTTTGGATACAAGGGATCAAAATAAGATACTTTGCTGAAGAAACTATACCTCTAAAATGAATTTTGATGTCCCGTGCAATGACCCAAAAATAAGGGTTGAAATTTGGAAAATTCTATTTTGACCTATTTAGAGTGCCACAATCGCGTCCAAATGTATGACCGACTGCTACTAACATTAGAAAGCCGATTTACCCATGCCCGTGGTTCATCTCCTGAGACCTCCCCTAAGCGGCTTTTCAACATTCAACCCTTTTAGGTCAACAAAGAGGTATAGTTTCTTCAGCAAAGTATCTTATTTTGATCCATAGTATCCGAAAATCATATGTGCCTAAGTGACCTTTAAATCGACCCGCCCTAATAAGCTTGTTAATGCAATGCAAAAATATCTACTTGCCCAATCCCTAGTATCTTCAATAAAAATTAAACAATATTGGGACGAGAATATTTATAACTGTGGTGACATGTTCACGGAAACCACCGTTAGGCATTACTTCGTCGGGGGAGGATCTAGAATGGTAAATTATCGAAGCGCGCACTGCTTCCTCCAATATTATGCGAAATGCGCAAGCAACCCTTAAAGCACTCAGACGATATATAGGTCCTGCCATTCTCCTCCATTTTTGAGTTTTGAGGAATACTGTATGTAGGTTTAATTTATTGCTTGGAAATTCTTACTGAGATACGATATTGGCTTACTAAAACTGACCTGATGGTACATACCCAGAAAATGTATTTATGCTAAGAGAAGTTAAAGGGATTTAGACTGGTAATACTAATAATAATATCTATTGTATTCCAACAAATAATTATATTGTATTTCTGATTGGTTACAATTTATATATCGTGTTATCATCAACGAGAAATACTGGATTATTGTAATTGCTCGTAAAAGATATTTAAATCTCATCGGGATTACCATAATTTAATAATCCGTAGTAATTGTAAGTCTAGACTAGACTTTAAGTTAGTTGAGGCAATAATGGGGATATATCTTTATATGGCAATTTTACTAGAAAATATATTACTTTCAAATACGATAGAAATAGCAAATGCTAACAGTCAATGCCAATGCTAACAGCCTATTTGGTGCTCGACGGATTTTGTCGAAGTCAAATGTCGAAAAATGTAATAGTTTTTTAAAATTTCGCTGCATTTTGTAGAATAATATTTGATTGATGATGTAAATGGTTTTTTACTTGAAAAACCAGTTTAAATTATATATTTTGCTATCGTGCATTTTTCTATATTTCATACTGCATAATCATGATTGTAGTTTATTTGCATTTTAGCACATTTTGAAATAGCTTTTTGGGTTCTCGTTCACATTCGTCTACCGATAAAATTATACAGGAGAGTAGTAGTATTAATGATTAGGATAAAGTCATAATTCATAAGTCTAGTGATAACTCGCAATTCATGTCATAAATTTGGTAGTTAACAGGTTTCTGTATTAGATAGATAATAATAATCTTCATCGTATAAAAAATATTATTTGTAAAGATAGTCAAATCTACTACAATTTTTTGAGAATGGAATGTTTATGAAAATTAAAATTGCACAATGCAGTCGAGTGCACAAAAATATACACCAGAATCAATAATTCGCAGTATTTTGTAAACAACGAAAAAAACAATAGACCTGAAGCTTTCCGAACTATATTTCTGAAAGTACATGTACATACAATATATATATATATATATATATATATATATATAATTTCTGCATAAATAGCATAAATTTACAGACTTGATATCCGTTCAAATATATTATAAATATCAACATAATTTGCATGAAGAATAGATTCATATCAATCTATTGAATAATCGCATAAGAATGCAATGATGATGATTTCCAAAATATTCAATTGAAATTCTATAATATAATGACACATAAGCATTCATTGTTTAAAAATTCTTAATATGTACGTATTTCATCACTTCTACGCACACACACACACTTATTAATAATAATAACTTTATTGCATTTTACAATGCATAGAATAGAAATATATAGAGAGTAGAGCGGGGCTTAAAGGTCCGTGGGTAAAAAGGTCCACCACCGATATCTCAAGAACAAGTAAAGTATTTTAACAATATTTGAAAGTAAAAAAAATATGTTTAACCAGCCGTGATGGCTCTTTCGACGTTCTGGAGATAAACGGCAATGTTTGAAAATCCATAACAAAAATATTTTCTTTCGTTGTTATTTGTTTTTGCTGTGAGCTGTGTGTATTGCTTATTTTACGAGACCTTAGTTTAATTTTTAATAGTTTTTTTATATGACCTCTATAAAAGCTTACATCTGGGTGAGGTAAAAAGGACTAACTGAACCTTTACCCCCACAGGTATAAAAAATAATAAATAGCAAATAAAAAGTAAATTAAGTTAAACAAAGTTGAAAAAGCAATTTCACAAGAGATAAATTAAATAAATGGTTATTCCCACCAACTTTGGTGATGAATATTTCTGACAAAATGCCAGATCAAGTTCATTTACAGTGTTATCTTAAAAAAATGTTCCCGTAAAATTTATATTTTACATTAGTTGAATACTGTAGCTATTATTTCGTGAAATTAAAATAAACATTAGACCCTATAAAATTAAAATAACACATTGGACCAGCTTGCCTCTCGGCTGTCCCAATTAATCCGCCTATGGGGTAAAAGGGGTCATCCGCCTGGGAGTTTTACTGAGTCACATAGTTGTTTGCTTGATATATGTTATTTATTGTGATATAATTGGTTTGGTTATCACAATATAATGGTCAAAGTAAAATTGGTTCTTTGTGGTCTACCCTACCCTACATAAAGAAAATTGTTTGAAGAAGACAAACAAAATTAGTCAAAAGCATTTAACTCTTGTATTTAACCATTATATTATGCTATTTTTGGTTTTTAAAGTCAATTGCCTCTTTACTTACTAACTTTGCAGGTTAATTCAAATAATAACTGAATTATGAATAATATTTATTTAACACCTTGGAGTTAGTGGTATTTGTAATTCAAATGAAATAAATTTTATGTAACCCTTTATTTAAAAAACGTTGTTTTTCAAAATTTTGAATGAGTTTATAAGCATTTCTTATCACAATAATTTTAAAATGCTATTTACACAAATCAGGATTTATGCTTTGAAACGGGTTACAACGTCTAGTTTTACTCTATTTGTAGAGCATATTAATAAATTATTAAACACACGATATGATTAGTACGTAGTTTGCGACAGTATAAGTAAAGCTTGATAATCATAATTAAATATTAATTTGCAAACTTTATTAATTCGATGTTGAAAGCAGAGCATTGGAATACCTGGGATCATATTTACTTGACCGAAAACTGGAAGCAATAATAAATGGACATCATCATAGATCTAGATAATACGAAGCAACTTTCGGAGTTCCACAAGGACTTTATTTAGAACTTTTGCTGCTTGCTATAAACGATTTACATATGTGGAAAACAGTGCAATCATCCAAGATGTTTCAACTCAGTTTCGTTTTCTTTTAGAATGAGAATTTATTATAGAGTCTATATTACTGATCTTTCTGACTTAAATAACTTGTTTAAATTTCATCAAGAATATTTAGTATATTGAAAACGATAATGCTACTTCGATAGAGTGCATTTAGAAAATGAAGATAATCTATATGCTTAATTAAACATTTATGCTTATGGTATTGAAAGCATCACAGATAATTTCATCGCCTATTATATGTATTAGGTTACTACTATTTTATACATTTAGACATACATGTATCATGTATATAATATATTATAAATATGCTATTATAATGCATGTCGCCAATATTACGTGACTGTACTTGACAATAAGTCAATAAAAAATAAATATTATATAAAAAGCATGAAGATACTTATAGCAAAACCAATTGCAGTTTTTTACGATGTTGACAGTCGTATAATAGTGAACGTAAAAAAAAAATTGGTAGGGGGAAGACCCCTATTGGCGGACACCTAAGGTTATTTATAAATAAATCAGAAAATATTTTACGAAATGTTTATTAAATTATGACTTATATTAGATAACAAAGTTAGAAATCAAACTAAATTAACTGCAATATTTGCTAAAAAATAATTAATACTATCAATCAAACTTTGATATAAAAAAATATGATTTTAAACAGTGGCACCTAGTACCGAACATTTCAAAATAACCTGCATTGATCACATATGTAGCCATTTCTACACTTTGGAATGTTTTCACATGTGTCTTTGACGAATATTCTTAGATATTGCAAAAAAAGTCACTATATATCCACCCTTTTGGCTGGGCCACACCGATGCTCTCAGCTGGAGCATTCATCATAAGATTTGCATTCTTTGACAAGGAAATACGAAGAATGGGGGTATGTTGTGACCGTTAGCACTTATACAGAACAAAATTAAATAATTGGATTAAATTACGTAAATACTAACTAGAAATATCAATATGTTTACTGTCCAGCACTAAGAGACGACTTAGTGTCCGGTGCTAAGAGACAGACATTTTCGTTTATTTGGTGGCACTTACTAAAACTGGTTAAAAGATCCAATAATATTCTACCATTTTACGGATAACAATCAAGTACAACTTTTATCTTTGCATACCACTCAAATGTAAATGCATAAATATGCTAGAATTATTTCCATTGATATTTAGGTGACGCCGTGATTTTACGCCTAAAACAGGAAAGGGTTGCTCTCGCCGTGGCCGTGTGCGTCAAATATTTTTTCTTCAATTTGTTTGTCTATACAAATTATTATCGATATGTTTATCAATTAATTTATCGATATGCATTTTTTTATATAAAAAACTAAAAAATTGCAATACTTTAATAAACAAATTTTGGCATAGCTGATTAGAAGCTGGTATAAATAGCTTTACTTTATATGTAGCATATATTTGTAACTATATATATTTTTGAAAGTTCTCAATTCAATGACTGGATTAAAAAGCTGGTAAATAATGGATCAAGTTGCTATAAACTGTTAAATTTCAACAAGTGAATTTATTGTGTTTTATCAGCTTCGCTTGATTTTCAGTCGATTTTTATTCGAAACCTTTATATTACAATTATATTTTATATAAATTGTATTTAGTTTAGTATTAGTTAAGTTATTAGTTATATTAGTTACTATGTAGAAAATCTAAATACTATTGAAAATATTTGTATAATACCTACATCTTCTTGTAATTATTTTTTATATCATATAGAAACATTTTTCAGTAAAATTATTATTAATTATCATAATATTTTCTTCAGCATTTACTCAAGCACTAATTATTATTAGTATTGTAAATCATTATCAACATCATTTGTCTGGAAATTAAACCTCACCAACTTTATCAATAACTGATACGATAATATATCTACATAAATAAAAGTCATAAAAGTTCATGTAATTTATTATATTAGTGTGAAACATAATGTCATAAATCTGGTTTAGATTATTCAGTGATTGATATCAGTTTTTGTTTGAAAATTTTTGTTATGAAAAACAGGTCTGGGCAAAAGACAAATTAATATACATACTATATTTTTCTATAGAAGATTGTAATAGATAAACTACACCAGCCTCCGCCAAAAATTAATCAGCACCCCTTCGTAAATCAATACGAATCGAATATTTTTTGAATGATTTGAATCGGTTGATCGGTGCTCCTGAAATTGTCGACGAATATTTGTATCCGCACACACACACGCACACAGACATACACACAAACACACATACATTCATTTATATTGGATGTATGCCAAAATATTCTTAAGTATGCCAAAATATTCAGGAACCTTTGAAACGTAAAGATATATACAAATTTTCATTAAATTTGTCTTTCAAAGAACGGAGTATCCGATTTGAATAATCAAAAAAATATTCAATTTTATAATGATTAGGAGAAGTCGTGATTAGTTTTTGACCAATACAGGTCTAGTCATTACAAAAATACAGAGCTAAATGTACAAAAAATGACAGTTTTTGAAAAAAACTAAGCAAAATTTGGATGATTCAAACAACTTTCTGCTTGTGTTGACAAAACAATTACTTTTGGAAAAAAAATATTTGAATTTTATTTAAAAAAAAAAAAAATTGTTTGTCTATATCGAAAATAATAATTTTAATTCTGGCTAAAGTTCTAAAGCTCACTTATATTCTTGAAATAAATAATTCCAACTTTGTAATTCATTAGTAAAATCGTGCAAAAGATAAGTAATTTGATTCTTGATTATTAGCACAGGTACGTTCTACAAAAAAATTCTAGGATCACCTGAACAATATATTTCATATTTCTTAAAGAAAGATTCAGTGATAAAATGAGCACAAAAGTTTAATAAAGATATAACTTTGCATGTGTTAAATATATAAATATCATTTTGCTAAAATCAAGTAATCGCAAAGATATATTTTGTAAAGAATAATGCACAGAACTGAAGGTAGTACAGAAAACTGCTCAGAGGATGAGGATATCTTGCAAAAAAATAGCGTTGGATAGCACTTACTTATTAGTTATGACGAAAAAAAATCATATAATTCATATATTTCTTCAAAAAACTTAATAAATATAATAATATTTATTATAGAATCATGATATGCAGCATGCTTTTTTGAATTCTTGGAACGTAACCCCTCTTTTTGTACTAGTTCTTTGTCCCTTATAACACGGATTCGTATAACACGCTAGTTTTCTGAAACGTAACTACCGTGTAGTACGGGGGTTACCTGCATAAGAGTAAGCATAGTTCACAACAAAAAGTTGATTCTAGAAAACCAACGTGTCGGTCGTAAATATAAAATTTTCTTGACTGCATTTTTATCTAAATATATTTACCGCTTTAGTTGCGAATCGTATCTTCTTATCAAAAACTGATTGCGCACAAAAAAATATTTACCTGATTGCATCGTATTTGACCATCACAGTTTTTTGAAACAGATTTTGATTTTTAAAATCAAACAAGTGATGCTATAGAATTGTGTTATCAGTTTATCATTGTATTGCATTATGACTGTGAGGTGCGCAATCAAGACTTTCGTTCGCGTCAATACAGAGATAGTAGAAGAGCCAGTGAACTATTTGACTAACCTGTTTTCACAAAGCCAGAAATTTTTTTAATGATATTTTATTATCGGCCCATTAAGAAAGTACCATTCTGGCAGTCATTCCGCGGTTGCGTCATCATCCCTTCAATTTGTGAAAATGTAAAAAAAACTGTTTTTATAACTTGCTCGCACAAGGCTCAAATTTTGAGAGTGTCTTCTTTTAACTGTTCAGAAAGCATATGTAAAAAGCCAGCCCATTCTGACGGTTGCAAGGGTCTGCCAGACCTGTACATAATAGTCACGACGCGCAAGGGTGTGGGCGCATTGCCATACATAATTGACTAATACCCTTGTATTTGAATAATTAATACGCCATTTTAAAGGTCATTTTGAAAACATCCGTTATACCAAACTTCAACTTTATATCTCACCTTATGGCCGAGATATCATTGAAAATATGCCAAAGTGGCCCCTTTTTCAAACTCAATTTTTGGCGTAACCATAAAAGATATCGAAAAAAAAATTACGTGATTCTACTCATATTGGCTTAAATCACATAATGTATAGTAATATATGCTAAATAATCCTTTATTATTAGCTAAAAAGGATAAAATAATTTTTCAATTAATGTTTTCGGATAGTGTGTTTTGTTTAATTACTTTATTATTAGTGTTATTTAAAAGCTTATTGTTTTCTCTTTTAGTACTGCAAATATGGTTTAAATCAAATTTGTGGAACACATTGAAAAATTGAAGAAACCAGAACCAGTACACCCGCGCGTAACGCATCGCACATCCGACCGAACGAATTCTATGCGGGCTACTATTAGCGTTACGCGCGGGTGTACTGGTTCTGGTTTCTTCAATTTTTCAATGTGTTCCACAAATTTGATTTAAACCATATTTGCAGTACTAAAAGAGAAAACAATAAGCTTTTAAATAACACTAATAATAAAGTAATTAAACAAAACACACTATCCGAAAACATTAATTGAAAAATTATTTTATCCTTTTTAGCTAATAATAAAGGATTATTTAGCATATATTACTATACATTATGTGATTTAAGCCAATATGAGTAGAATCACGTAATTTTTTTTTCGATATCTTTTATGGTTACGCCAAAAATTGAGTTTGAAAAAGGGGCCACTTTGGCATATTTTCAATGATATCTCGGCCATAAGGTGAGATACAAAGTTGAAGTTTGGTATAACGGATGTTTTCAAAATGACCTTTAAAATGGCGTATTAATTATTCAAATACAAGGGTATTAGTCAATTATGTATGGCAATGCGCCCACACCCTTGCGCGTCGTGACTATTATGTACAGGTCTGGCAGACCCTTGCAACCGTCAGAATGGGCTGGCTTTTTACATATGCTTTCTGAACAGTTAAAAGAAGACACCCCAAAATTTGAGCCTTGTGCGAGCAAGTTATAAAAACAGTTTTTTTTACATTTTCACAAATTGAAGGGATGATGACGCAACCGCGGAATGACTGCCAGAATGGTATTTTCTTAATGGGGCGATAATAAAATATCATTAAAAAAATTTCTGGCTTTGTGAAAACAGGTTAGTCAAATAGTTCACTGGCTCTTAGACTAAGACGTTATATCAATACGAATGTTACCTTACATTACATTCGACACGTGTGAATCATTTTAGTCTTCTGCGGGACACGAAACAATCGACTTCATCAGTTTTGTCATTTTCTAATTTTAATTATTATTTCTTTGTCAAACTTTTTAGTTAATTTACTTATTTGACATAAATTGTTATCATTTAATAATAATAATGATGTGCACATATATAAAACGGAATGCTCTGTCTAGGTCCGTCAATATTATTAGTTGAATAAGATAGATGGATATGTGAACTTAATTTGTAATTCAGTGAATAAAAAAAACATGTCAGGTGTGCTGAATCAAGGATTCGAAGAGGTAGTATAAAGAAAATTTATTATAAATGGGTATATTATTCATACCCTTTTGCTTGTCTAACTGTTTACTTATACAACTGCTACTTGTCTACCTGTTTGCCTACTTAACTACTTTACTAGCATTCTACCTGTCAACAAGTCCACCTGCCAACCTGTCTAGCTGTTTATCTACAGCTATACCTATTTTCCCATTGGTTTACTGGTCCACTTGCAAACCTGATCATTTGTTTACATGTCATCTTGTAAATATAACTGTGTATCAAAATTTCTGCATGTATATGAATCAATAACTTGTGCTCATGGCATCATACCTCAATACAAATTGCTGGAATACCAAAAACCGTAGCAAAAACCAAATTTTTTTAAAAAACTTTAAAATTTTCTCAAAACATTAAATAACTAGTTGGTTTGGTATTTAGCCTTGAGGCAAGTTACATGAACTTCCCGATATGTGTAAATTATCGACTTAATAAAAAAAAAAATGTGTAAATAATATACTTCATCAATCCTACTTTAAAAAAAACGATAATAATTTTAGCAAAGTTTGACGAATTTTTAAAATTAAACTACTTGTCGTAAGGCCGTAATATTACAGTAAGTTCTATAAGACCATGATGTATATCGCCAAAAAAAGTTACATGAAAATCGGCTTAATTTTTTTTTTCAACAGTTCATTACAAGAAAACGGCTCGGTAGATTTTCACCTAAAATTAATCAGTACCATTCCCAACTAATACCTTTTGAACACTTTTTGATTTTTTAAAATCGGTTCGGTAGGATGAGCTTAAATGTGGACGAAAAGTTTGACATTTTTTTTCAACAGTTAATTACAAGAAAACGGCTCGGTAAATTTTCACCTAAAATTAATCAGTACCATTCCCAACTAATATCTTTCGAACAGTTTTTGATTTTTTAAAGTCGGTTCGGTAGGATGAGCTTAAATGTGGACGAAAAGTTTAACACTTTTTTTTAAATTGCAAAGAAACGGCTTGGCAGATCGTCGCACAAAACTGACAAACGATAGTCCTCACCGAAATACATCAAATGGCTTTCAAATTTCTAAAATTGGTGCAGGCGTTTTTGAGAAAACGTCGATCGAAAGTCTAATTTTGACAAATGCCAAAAAAACGATACCAATTCTTGCAAACTTTGACGAATTTTTAAAGCTGAACCAGTTGTCGTAGGGCCGTAATATTTTAGTATGATCTAGAAGACTATGGTATCTACCGTCAAAAAAATAATCATAAAAATCGTCGGATTTTTTTTTTTTTTAAACTTTATTACAAGAAAACGGCCCGGCCGATCTCTACCAAAAACTAATCAGCACGATTCCCAACTAATATCTTTCGAACGGCTTTTGAATTTTCAAAATCGATTCAGAATTGCGGGCTAAAACGTAGACGAAAATTTTTTCACATTTCTGCGATTTATAAAGAAACGGCTTGCCCGATCGTCGCACAAAACTGACAAACAATAGTTCTCGTCGAGATACATAGAAAGGCTTTTAAATTTTTAAAATCGGCCCAGCAGTTTTCGAGAAAACGTCGATTTACGTCAAAAAATCTGTTCACACACACACACAGAATGGCTTGAAACGTCGAGAAAACATAAAATTAGAGAATCGGATTTTTTGATGAAAACATAAACTTCTCCTTCGGGAAGTTAAAAAACAATTAAAAATTGACATTTTTGAAAAAAATGACTTTTTTATATTTTGTTTTTTTTGAGAATTTTGAAATTTTTTTTAAAGCATAGCGCTGCATAGTTATTTTAGAGTAGACATATTGAAGCGCGTAAGCGCCGACTCGTAGTGTAACGTGTAAACATTGGTACGGAACCCATGTAAATGTACACAACATTTGTACTTTATAATCTCTATACAGTAGCTGATAATATGATGTGCATATGTTTAATGATCATTTTTGACAGATAGCATTATTCACCAGTTATTATTTTCGTCAATACAAGTAAAATGTTTTTTGAATCATTCAAATCGGACGCACCGTTATCTCAAAAACTGAAATACCATTTTCTAAATATTTCAAATCGAACGCTCTGTTATCTTAAAAACTGCATGACGATTTTTTGACACCCTTTGCGCTCCGTACCTCCGAAACAAATGGGTCTACTTTTTCAAAATCTAACCAATACAGCTTGCAGTCAGTACAGACCAAAAGTTTTTTGAATCATTCAAGGAAATTTGTTTGAACTATATAAGTGAGCTTTAAAAATATAAAATGTTGGTAAAAATAAAAAACTGGTTGGTATAAATAAAATTAGTACTCATTATAAAAATCACTATAAAATATCTGATAATTTGATATGCATATGTCTATGATAATTTTTGACCGCAAAATATCATTTCTTCCATCTCCAAAACCTTTGGACCAGCCTTCCCAAAACGTCAATCAATTTTTATTCGGTCAATACAAGTAAAATATTTGGAGAAATTGAAAAACTTTTTGCCCCGTATCTTTGAAACCGAGAGACTTACCTTTGCTAAAAACTAATCAGCACGTCTTCCCATCAATAAGATTCAAACATTTTGCAAATTATTTAAATTGGTTGATCAGCGCTTTCAAATACATCGGCAAAAATTGTATCTGCACATACATACACACAAACTCGAGATAAACAAGACTATGACCCCAAACCTGCTGATTACAATCTCGAGAAAAAGCGCAGACAAAAGCCAAAGACGGCAAAAGATAATCGCAAACATCCATAAGAATGACGCTAAAATGATTTCAAAAGGGCCCTAGGAAATAATTGAAATCAGAGACATTGATGACAAGACACCAATCGGCATTCAAACAGCTCTCAAAAAAGTAGCTGCAAAAGCCTGTAAAACACCAGCGGAAGCAATCATGATCCGTGAAGCCTACGTATGTGCCACGGGGCAGAAATTACTTGGCAAAGTCGTCAAAATTCGAGCTGGCTGGGTGAACTGCCATACAAGAGCTTCTAATAGGCGAATCCAGTGCTTCAAATTTTGGCTTTTTGGGCATAACAAATTTCAGTGCGGAAGTAAAGTAAACCGTTCGAACCTTTTCATTTGGTGCGGACAAGAAGGGCACAAAATCACCTACACGAAAAACGACACAAGCTTGATTGTAGGCCTCAATTTAGTCAGAAATAGCCTCGGCAGAGGTAACTGTAACTAAAAGGAGATGGACATCTACACTGCCAGCAACCATCATACGATACTACAGAAATATAGATTCAACAAAACCTTAGTCGACCTATCAAGCAAGCTAACTGCACTTGTTAATAAATTTTGGCAGTAACCCGATCAACACTGGATGCGCTGACCTGATAAAAAGAGTGACCCAGGCCTGTGACGCTAATTTGCCTCGAAAAGACTCAGTGGCATAAATTTAAGACCCTCTATGTACTGGTGTAACGATGACATCAGTATCTTTCGTAAAGCAAAGAGAAATAGAGTATAAAAAAACAATATTGATTGAAGTAAATTTGTGTAACTAATCGCGAAATACAAAAGGTGTCGTCGTGAATAATAAGCCCATCAAAATGAGCAAACAAAGATGCTGGAAAGAGCTCGAATGTGATGTGGACAAACCATGTAGGGTAGGCTTATGAGGTGGTTATGACTGTCCCACGAAAGCAACAAATGCTTTTAGACACCTTCAATTCCTTCGCAAAGTAGTAATAGCGCAGTTTCCACAGCGACGCGGTTTCAGTTATCAGTTTTCTTCAAGCAAGCTGGATGACATTTTACCAGACTGTGAAGAGAATTTAATGAAAGTCTGTAACCGTCTAAGAAAAAATAAAGCGCCGGGATTGAACGGAATTTCTAATATAGCTTAGTGATAAAGAAAGCGCTATCACATCAACAATGCATGCCTAAAATAAGAAACTTTTCCAACGGCTTGTTCTTTTGCCTAACAATAAGAGAAATAAGTCACTAGAAAGACTGTCTTCTTAGATATTCGAAAGTATTTTTATCAATGAATTAAAGCAATTGTCATTCATGGCAGACAACCAGTATGGATTCCGGAAGGGATGATCAACCCTGGTCGCGATAAATCTAGTTGTTGATACGGCCAAGGAAGCAATCACAGGAACAAAGATTAAAGGGTTTGGAATATTGCCTGGTGGCCACACTAGACCTCAAAAACGCCTCCAACTGCACAAACTGGTACTGCATTATGCAAGCTCTTCAAGAAAAGAACGTACCAGGTTTTATTTGAAAAATAGTGTCATGCTACTTCACGGGTAGAGTCCTGAATTCAATAAATATAATATCATTGGACTACTTTTAGCATATATGTGAAGTTAATATTTTGATGCATTTTTCAAGATTCGTGAGATATGTTTCAATATCTTCATACAGAGTGGATAATTTTAAGTGAAAGCATCTGTTTCTCAAAATTAGATTAAAGCGGTAATTTGTCTTGAAACAAGTTGCATGAATTTTCCGATATACGAGTATGTGCAAATATTCAATAATATCAACAATAATTTGATTTGTAGATAATTTACCAGTCTACCAGTTCACTTGTTAACTGATCTACCCATCTACTTATATACCTGCCTACTTACCTAGCTCTATATCCATGTCATTGCCAAATACTAATCAGCACGTCTCCCTACAATGTTTTTTGAATCATTCAAAGCGGTTAAGCGGTGTTCCCAAAAACTTTGACGAAAATTTGCATCCACACAAAACACACAAACACACCCATACATACATTTTTTCTAAGGCATGCGAAGAAAACTGTGAAACGTATAGATATGCAAAAATGCTGATGAATATTTAGGTATAATCATTGGTGTCGAATGTTTAATTACGGTCCGCAAAATTCCAGCAGTTTGCATTAAAGCACAATGCCATGCACCACTAATAAACTATATATAATGTCTTGTTATTTTTAGGATGCTAACGAACAAGGCGAAAATTCGTATCCGCTGCGGCGACGTAAAACGTCAGACGTAACAATTGCCGTCCTTCCGGTAAGTTTTCACTGTTGTTACTATTCAAATTAATCTTAAAAGATATGACAATTTTATTTGAAATTAAAGTAAAAAAAACATTACGCAATTTATGAACAATGAATATTTATGCTGTATTATTGCATAAGTCACGGTATTTCCAATATTCCTGTTAAAGATTGAAATAAATTAATTAAAATGTAACACCTTTATTCGGTCATTTTCAATTCTACTAATAACACCTTTTTATTTATGGCCAAGGCGATAAAGGTAATTCAATAACAAATAACTAACTAGCTGTAAGTGGAATTCTGTCTTAAGGCAATTAGGGCATCGTGCCTTAAGGCAAATTGCTGGAACTTCCCGTACCAAAAATTATTTTTTTTAAAAACGATTAACATTTTTGAAAAAATTTTACTTCGAAAAAAAATAGATTTTTGAGAAACTATAAAATTGACAAAAAATTACTTTTTTTTGAAAAAAAAATTTTTTATTTGAAAAAAAAAATTTTTTTTTGAGAATTTTTTTTTTTTTTAAAACTAAAAAATTTTTTTTTAAAAAAATGTTTTCTTCATTTTGACATATTTTGGAAATTTTGAACTTTTTTTCAAAGCAATCGCACTGCTTGAACTGCATAGAGACGAAATGTCAAAGCTCGCAAGTGCCGCGCCGCCGTCTAACGCATAAGCATTGGTACGGAACCCATAGAAATGTAAAAAAAAATATATACTTATTGTTAAAATCTCTATAAAATATCTGATAATTTGATGTGCATATGTCTAATGATCATTTTTAACCGCCCAATGGCATTTTTTTTTACTTTTTTCATTAGATCTCCGAAACCGCTAGACCTGCCTTCATGAAAATTTGATCAATTATACATCTTGTCAATACAAGTAAAATGTTTTTTGAATTATTCAAATTGGATGCTCCGTTCTCTTAAAAACGGAGGTACCGTTTTCGGAACTTTTTGCCCCGTATCTTCGGAACGGCTTGACTTGCCTTCGCCAAAAACTAATCAGCACGTCTCCTTATCAATACGAATCGAATGTTTTTTGAATTATTCAAATCGGTTGATCCGTGTTCCCGAAATCGTCGACGAAAATTTGTATCCGCACATACATACACACACGTACATACACACACACACACACACACACACACACATACATCCATTTTTTCTAAGGTATGCCAAAATGTTCAGAAACCTCTGAAACGTAAAGATATATAAAAATTTTCATTTTCGATTTTTTTGCGATTACTATAACTTACCCTACGGGAAGTTAAAAATCAGAAGATCGGGAAAAAATATTATATCGAAGAAAGATAAAGATAAACGAAAGAAACAATTTTTGAAGCATGATCAGTTTACCTTATATAGATATGTAGAAACAACAATCGCATAGATCTATTATTAATAAATATTAATTAATATCAATATACATATTTTATTATTAATGAACTAACCATATGAATTAACATATATCCTATTCTTTAATATTCCATAAAAAATGAAATTTTTTTTTGTTATAATTTATTTTTGTTAATCAAGACTTTTCTTAACGTCTTAAGAAATGATAAAATAATACACAATGAATTAAATGAACTAGATGTTTTAATTCTTTTTTTTAATATCAAGAAATGTAGAGACATTTAAATCAGTAATGTCTCGAATAGCCATAAATAATAAGACCTGTGCAAATATGACATTTTTTTTAAATTTATAATTATTGGTTGGTAAATTTCGACAATAAAGAACTTATGGGCTTGTTTGATCAGAAAACTGATCAATGATTTTGAACAATATTATTAATAATTTCAATTTTATTTTTTTATGCTAGCATATTTATGTTTGGTAAAGTGTCATAGATTTCAATGTTGTTATTGTCGGTATTTCACTTTTTCAGGAATCTTTAAATGATGGAAACGAGGACGATACCAGAGCGGTTGAAGAAAATGGAGTTTCAAAAGCTGTTGGAAAGCTTTGGGATATTATGGATTATTCTGTACTAAGGCACAAAAAAACTATCAAAGTCTTGGCTAGCATTTGCTTGCACGTCCTGGCAATAGTATATTTTGCTTACGCCACTTCGTACTGGTACAAACATGGTAATGTAAATAAAATTACTGCAAAAGAACATTCTGTTAATTTTACATTTCAATAATAATATTTATCATTAAAATATCTATAAATTTCGACTGTGCTGTTTAAGAATATTAATGCGCAGTCTAAACACTGTCAGATAATCCATTGGCAAATGTATATTGCTATTTTAACTAAAATATAGGGTAGAGCGGGGCTTAAAAGTTCGCGGGTCAAATATCAATATCTCTGATCTCATACGTAATGTTGAGAATTTTTTAACAACAATATTTGAAATGAGAGGCAAAAAGATGTACAACCAGCCACTACCTTAAATCTTACGACGTCGCTATCGGGAGATAAACATCAAAGTTTGAAAATCCGTAACAAAAGTATTTTATTTCGTTGTTATTAACTTACCGAAGGGTAGTTATGGTAATGGGCCGAAAATCTAAAATGAATTTTTTTACATATCTTCACGTTTTGAAGGTTTCTAAACATCGTGCCTTAAGGTAAATTGCTGGAACTTCCCGTACCAAAAATTATTTTTTTTTTTAAAAATTAACATTTTTGAAAAAAATTTACTCTGAAAAAATTAGATTTTTGAGAAACTATAAATTTTTGACAAAAATTTACTTTTTTTTGAAAAAAAAAAGATTTTCGAAGAAAAATTTATTTTGAATTATTTTGGAAATTCTGAACTTTTTTCAAAGCAATTGTACTACTTTAATTGCATAGAGACGAAATATCGAAGCGCGCAAGCGCCGTGTCGCCGTCTAACTCAAAAATATTGGTACGGAACCTATAGAAATGTAAACAAAATTTATACTTATTGTTAAAATCTCTATAAGATATTTGATAATTTGATATGCATATGTCCAATAATCATTTTTTACCGCCAAATGGCATTTTTTTTTACTTTTTTTACTAGATCTCCGAAACCGCTAGACCTGTCTTTATGAAAATTTGATCAGTTCTTCATCTTGTTAATACAAGTAAAATGTTTTTTGAATCGGACGCTTCGTTCTTTTAAAAGCTGAGTTACCGTTTTTGGCACTTTTTGCATCATGTCTTTGGAACGGCTAGACCTGTCTTTGCCAAAAACTAATCAGCACGTCTCCTTATCAATACAAACAAATGTTTTTTGAATTATCCAAATCGCTTCATCCGTGTTCTCGAAATCGTCGACGAAAATTTGTATCCGAACACACACACACATACATCAATTTTTTCTAAGGTATGACAAAATGTTCAGAAGGTTTTGAAACGTAAATATATATAAAAATTTTCATTTTCGATTTTTTTGCGATTACTATAACTTGCCCTACGGGAAGTTAAAAAACATTCAATTTTTAATGATTTGGAGAAAAGGTGATTAGTTTTTGGCAAAGGCAGTTCATGCAATTTCAACGATACAGAGTTAAATGTACAAAAATTGTTCTAGAGAAATGAGCGTCCGATTTGAATGAGTCAAAGAATTTTCTGCTTGTTTCAACAAAATAATTGCTTTTGGAAAAAATGATTCATTTTTATTTCAAATTTATTTTTGTTTATCGAAAATAATTCAGATTTTAAATTTAATTCCGTTCTGATATACTTTAAACAAATAATTTCAACTTTGCAATTCAGTTTACATAATTCTTATAAATATTAGACAGTGTTACAATATTTATAATAATCTATTTGAAAACATTTAATATTCCTCGAATATTTCGTTACGGTAAGGAAAGTTTCAGCAATTTGCCTTAAGGCGCAATACCATGCACCACTAGTTTGTTTTGGTTGAGAGCCCTGCTTAGGTTACGAACCTCAATATCATTTTTAACTATTCGCTATTTGTTTTATAAGATGTATTGTTATTTTTAAGTTAGTTTCAACTACGAGGGTCATGTAAAAAATAAGGTTTCCACATTTTTTTCAGGGTTGAGGCATTTTTTATTGCAATAAATGTGTATACCATCGGAAAGCTTGTATTTCAAACTATTTTTCTACATAGTCGCCAGATCTTTCAACGCATTTTTTCTTAGGAGTTTTCCACTTTTGAAAACTCGCTTCGAAGAACTCCACCGCCACGCTCTTGCTCGGTCTTCTTCTCCGGCGATTTTGGATGGCTTTTTTGAGTTTTGTTAGTGTCTCGCAGTACTTGTCCGAATTTATAGTGGACCCTTTAAGCATTAACTCGGTAAGCAAGACACATTTTCGGTCCCAAAACTCGATGGCCCCCCGCTCCTTTGCTCGTCGTGGTGAACGTCTGTGCGTCCTTCGGAGAACTCCCTGCACCGTTTGAGGACGTGCTGGACGCTGATGCAAGTTTTGCCATAAACTTCTTCCAATTGTCTATGAATTTCAATTGTATGACTGATGTAATTGTAGGACAAATTCAATTCTATGACTGTTACACAGGCACTAAGATTTGCAGTGATCTTCCAGGTAGTTGGAATGGAGTGTCATGGATCAACAATGAAAATGGTGTAGCCGGATTTCCCCTAGTATCTCGCGCGGCGAGTGTACAGCGTTGGGAACCTTATTTTTTACATGCCCCTCGTATAAACCCCTATAAAAGTGGGGTAAACAGGACCAGCTGAACCTTTACTCTAGCAAAGGTGTAAACAATAAAAAATAGTAATAACAAATATGAATTAAGTTGAAAAAGCAATTAAACAAGAGTTAAATAAATAGTAATTCCAACTCTGCTGATAAATATTTTTGGTGAGACGTTGGATCTGGTTGCCCCAGGTGTCCCATTTTACCGCGCCTGTGGGGTAAAAAAAAAACAGGTGATAAATTTTTGAGAAACAGCAAATAAAATGCATTTCTACGATGATGATTTAGCTGGTAGTTTCATTGAAAATAGTCAGATAGTTGTTTGATACGTGGTGTGCGATGTGATGCAGTTATAATTACTGAAAGTCAAATTTGACCCTTGTGCCCCGCCATAGCCTAATATAGAAATAGCTTTTGTAAATAAATTAAATGATTGAATTAAAAATTTGACTAAATAAAAAATAGTGATATTTTTGAAAGTTTGTAGGGGTACGGACAAAATGACATGGTGTGGACAAGTTGACACAC